ATGTGCTCTGACCCCCTAAAGAGCATGCTTGACCAGATTCTCCTCCTGGTTGATCTCTGATCCTTATCTGAGTAGTTTCTCTGACTGGGTGAAGGGAGAGAGGAACTCATGCCGAAGATAAAAACAACTGGACAAGGAAGAGCCACCCGCCCAGTTGTTTTTACAAGGACAGGACAAATATCTGCTTGAGCATTTGGCATTCTGCTTAGTCTGTCATGCACATACATACATACAGATGTATATACACACATACATGTATATATAAGCATATATATATATATATAATTGTTGTTTATTAGTTTTTCAGTTGTGTCCAACTCTTTGTGACCCCATTTGGGGTTTTCTTAGCAAAGATACTGGAGTGGTTTGCCATTTCCTTCTCCAGCTCATCTTACAGATGAGCAAACTGAGGCAAATAGGGTTAAGTGACTTGCCAAAGGTCATGCAACTACTAAGTGTCTGAGACCAGATTTGAACTGAAAAATATGAGTTTTCCTGACTCCAGACCCAGCACTCTATGCACTATGGCACCCCTTAGATTCCCATGTGTGCATGTGTGTGTGTGTGTGTGTGTGTGTGTGTGTGTGTGTGTAACAAGGATATCTATGCTAAAAAAAAAAAGGTCCCATACTGGACAGATTATTTATAGCAGCATCTTTTGTAGTAGAAAGAGCTGGAGACAAAGTAGATGTCCATTGATTGGGGAATGGCTAAATTGAGGCACGTAAATGTAATTGGACAAATCATAAGATCATAGATATAGAAGTCAAATCATAGGATCGTAGACGAGAAGTCGCTAAGTCTATCCCCCTCATTTTACTGAGGAAGGAAACAGACCAGTGGAAGTTAAGTGACTTGCCTGGGATCACAGAGCTAATAAGTGCCTAAGGAGGGATTTGAACCCAACTCTGGCTCCAAGTCCAGCACTCTGTCCACTATACCCTGATACCTCCAAAAAACAATGAATATGATGAATATTCAGAGAAGCAAGGGGAGACTTATATGAACAGATGCAAAGTGAAATGAGCAGAACCAGGAGAACAATAAGCACAAAGACTCCAGCAAGGTAAACAGAAAGAACTACTACCGCTAACAATACCATTGAAATCAGATATTCTGACATTATAATGACCGAGCTTGGCCCCAACAAAGAGCCACGACAAGGGATCTCCCTCCCTCCCTTTGTGTCGATGGGAGAGGGTGTGGAACACTGGCTGTAATGTCAGATTATGTTCATGTGTTGGTGAGTTTTGTTGAACTGCTTTTATTAATTTGATTCTTTGTTACAAGGGGACCAGGTGGGATTCACTGGGAAATATAGTTGATGTAAAAACCAAAGACATCGATGTAACAATGTAAAACACTTGAAAAATAAGTGAGTTCTTGAAGGGTGCCCAGCTCCTTCTGCCATTCTATGATCTGACAGACTCCAAAGAGCCAGGGCTAGGAAGAAGCCTGGAGGACAGAGAACTGCCCAGGAGACAGATGATGTGGACAAAGACCCAGCTAGGGTCAGGGGCAGAAGCGTGGGCGACCCTAACCCTCGTTCGGAGGACAAGTCACGTCAGCCTTTACCAGGAGACCGTGCTTGGCAAGGGATCTACAAGTTAGCAGAGAAAAGAGCATCCTAGGACCAGGTGATAAGGTGAGAGAAGACCGGAGAGCATCAGGCCAGAAACTCTCCTAGCCCAGGGAGATGGCGAGGCTCACTGAGTCAGACTCCTCTCTGGAGGACTCAGCAGATGTCTTTTCTCCTTTCCTCGGCTCTCCCCTCTCTCTGCTTGGCCCAGAGGGCAGTACTAGAAGGGGAGTGGTATTGAGGGGAAGATTTAAGGTGAAGGCAAATGGGTGCCCTCAGGAGGTAGAGGCTCATAAGAGACTTCCTTAGGGGATTGCTGAGGCAAGAGGACAACGCTGGGAGGCTGACCGGGGGCTGACGTGGCCGGAACTCAGCCCAGAGACTTCACTGCCCTCAGGCTGAAGAGAACTGGTACCCTATGGAGGTGATGCAAGCCAACCAGAGGCAGCTGCTGAGACCCAGGGATGCCCGTCCCGTCCCTCAATGTCCAGGGGAGGGGCTCCCTGCATTGGGGCCAGTATCAGCCTCACAGAACCTCAGAGTCAAAAGGGAGGCCCCCTGGTCCAGCCTGGATCTGACCAAGACTACCCCTCTCCAACAGCCTTGCCCAACCTCTGCTTGAAGCCCTCCAGCGACAGGGAGCTCACTATCTGGAATGGGTCTCATCCTTCAGAAGGATTTCCTGATGTCAACTCTAAACTGGCCTCCCTGCACCCTCCCCCCACCTTGTCCTGCCCTCTGGGCCCAAGCAGGACCAGGTTAAGCCCTCCTACACACAGCAGGTCTTCCATTAGTTGTACGCAAGTAACTATTCTGCTGTCGTCCAACCCCATCCCCCATCTTCTCTTCCCCAAGTGAAACATCTTCTGTTCCTTCAGCCAGTCCTTGTATCACATATCCCCCTCCTCCTTGCCCTCCTCTGTATCAGTGAGTACTGAACCAACACTCCGCATGAGGTCTGAGCTGGGCAGAGGACAGACTCTCACCTCTCTATTTCTGGCAGCTCTGAAGTACAAGGCTGAATTAGCATTTGGGGGCTACCACATAACGCTGACCACTCACGTCAAGCTTGCAGTCCACTGAGATTACCAGATCTTTTCCCGACAAACTGCTATCCAGTTAGGCCTCCCCACCCGTCCTGGTTTGTTATGTGAAGTTAATTTTTTTAATCCAAGTGTAAAACTTTACATTTATCTTCACTGAATTCATTTTGCTAGGTTCAAGTAAGTGCTGTGGCCTGTCATGATCTTTTCGACATGTTCAAAAACACACCGGCTCGATCATCATACCATTCCCCTGAACACTGCATCAGACTATCAGAAGCACACAACCGAACTTGTACACACTTGTGGATAAGCACGCATCTGTGGACGTCCCATGGGATTGGGCTTGTACCTCTCAATGAACTTACCCCTTCTCCCTTCCTCTCCTCCTAGCCCTCAGATCCCCTCCATCACTATCTCCTCCTTCGTCCCTGTGGCACATGAAGAGCTGGCCCCTGTCCCTACTAAGGGAGACCCTCTACATGCACCAATGATCCCAATCCCTCCTGTTCCCTCCAGCTGATTGCTCCTCTCATCCTCACTCTTGCTTATATCTTCCTTTTCTCCTTGTCTACTGGCTACTTCCCTGTTGCCCTCAAACATACCCATGTCTCTCCCATCCTCAAAAACCCCTCACTTGATCCTTCTATTGAACTTTTGTCCTATATCTCTCCTGTCCTTTGTGGCTAAACTCCTTCTCTTCCTTCAAGGCTCCACTAGGGCAGGGGCACCGTCTCCATGAAACTTTCCCTGTTTGCTCTAGCTGGTAGCATTTTTGCTGTCTTCAAATTTTCTTTGTCTGGCTTTCTCCTTCATATCCCGTTACGTCCTACCTGCATTTCCTCTTCTGGGCACATGTGGTGGGTAGGCCTCCCGTAGAATGGAAACTCTTGAGGGCATGACTTTGTTTATGTGTCCGTAGTGCCTTGTGCAGAATAGGTGCTAAACAGGTTGTACTGAATTGTTGAAAACTGAGGGGAAGGCGGTGGGAACTGGTGTGTGGTGTGTACTGGGGGCAGGTCACAGACCTCCTCCTACCCTCCAGACCCCGCCATGCACTCATGTCACTCCTGTGTGTTCAGAACCTCCTGTCTGCCCACTAAACCCCCCAGATACCAGGGCTGGACTAGGCCTCCAGCACACCACACAGGTACACCTGCCTGGGCCCTGCACCAGCCCCTCTCCCGGGACAGAAGCCAGAAGGCACACCCTAAGTCCCTTCCCCACTACAAACCCATGCAGCATTGTCCAGAGATTCAGGTAGGGTTGTCTGTAAGCACACATTTTTTCTTCCCAATATCAGCCTTCCATTTCTATCACTAAACACAAGCCAAAGTGGTGACAGAATTTTTCCCTAAACCTCCACCCTCCACCCCAGGTCACCTCATACGCAGCTGGAGTTACTTGTCATCAGTTCTCTGTAGCAGGGAGGGACGCTGTCCTACCTAATTCCCAGTTATTTGTGGGCTCTGTGCCCCCCACAGAGGCTAGACAGATGTTGAAACCTTGGTGAAAAAGGGCATTCCCTCCCCTCCCCCCTCAGAAGGGCAATAGCTAATCATTGCTCTGAGTCCCATGGAGAGGCCAGCTTTGAACACTGGGCTAGGAAGGTCAAGAAGAAGATGTGGAGGGAAACAGGGTATCAGCTATCTCGGGCAGAGAGCCCAGGACACAAGGGAGAAGGGTGGGGGAAGGGGTATAGGGAAAGCAAGAAAATGAGAAAGAGGGAAGGAAGGGGGGAGAGAGAGTGTGAGAAAGGGAGAAAAGAAGGAGAGAATAGGGAGGTAGAGGGGCGGAGGAGAGATAGGGGAAAAGAAAAGGGAAAGAAGAAAAGAGGAAGGAGGAAGATAGGGAGAATAGGTGATAGAGGGAAGGAGAAAGAGATTGGAGAAAGCCAGGAAAGGAGAGGGGGATGGTGGAAAAACAGGCAAGGAGAGTGGGAAGGTAGGAAAAGCAGGGAGCCCGGGGAAAGAACGAAGGAAGGAGCCAAAAATGGGAAAGAAAGAACAACAGGAAAGGAGAACCAGACGTGAAGGAGAAGCAAGAGGAGATAAGGAAAGCCGGAGGTCCAGAGAGGAAAAAGGGGGAACGAAGGGGGAGACAGGGAGTGTGAGAGGAAAAGGGAAAGAGGGAGAGAGGAGAGATAGAAAGTCACAAGGGAAGGAGATTCATGGCACAGAGAAAACGAAGACGCAGATGGAAGGAGGAAGAAAGAAAACAGAGAGAAGGAGCGATGGAGAGGGAAAGGAGGCCGAGGGAAGGACGAGGAGGGCAGTGGAGGGTGGGTTCCGAGTAGAGAGCAGGGCACGTGTGCCTGGAGCCCTGGCCTCGGGCCACGAGCTCCGGCCAGGCCGTTCTGGGGGGCCTGGGCCACTCACCTGGCCACAGCGCGCTCGGCCCGCGGGCTGTGCGCCTTGTCCAGTCCCAGGCGGGTGAGGATGGCGCCGAGCGCCAGCACGGCCACGACCCCGCACACGCTGTAGACGGCTACGTGGGCACGGTCGCGAGCCGGGCTGGGCGCCCCGGAGCCGCCGCCGCCGCCCGTGCCGCCGTCTAGGGAGCCTCCGGACGAGCGCGGAGAACCGGTCTGCAGCCAGCTGGGCGTGTCGTAGTTGGAGCAGCGGCTCTGGTCCAGGCGGCGCGGGGCGTTCCGGCAGCAGAAGCGGTAGCCACACGTCCCGCAGCAGTAGTGGTACGGCCCCGTGCTGCAGTTGAACGGCGGGTCCCACTGACCCATCACGTCGTAATAGCCCAGGCACCTGTCTCCGCCCGCTCCGGGGGGCAGGCTGGGCGCCTCCAGCGCCCGCTCGGGCCTGGGGCTGGGGCTGGGGCTGCCGCCCGCACCCGGCTTGGTCTCGCCCTTGTCCTGAGCCCCCGCCTCGAGAGGCGCCCGGCCCCGCGTCCCGCCCGACGCCAGCAGCAGCAGCAGCGGCAGCAGCAGCAGCCCGGGGAGCGGGCGCCAGGGCGCTGCTCGAGCCATGGGCATCCCCCCTGCCTCCCGGACTCTTCCGGGAGGCGACCCCGGCCACACTAAGAGCCCCCCGGCATGGCGCCCCCGCCGCGCCCCTGCCCGGAGCGCGGGGAGGCCGCCAGCACCGGCCCAGCTCTCTCACTCGGCTCTCCTCCCCCGCCACCCACTCCACTGTTTCTTCGGCCCCTCAGCTCTGCTCTCCTGCTCCACCTTTCCTCGAGGACCTTTCTTCTTCCTCTCCCCTCTCCGCTCCTTTCCCTCTTTTCTGTCTCCTCTCTCCCTCTCTTCCCTTTCCTTGGGTCCCCTAAGTCTTCTCTCCCCCCCCCCCCCCCTTCCTCCCCCCCCCCCCCTCCCCCCCCCCCCCCTCGTCCTCTCCCCCCCCCCCCCTTCTTTTCTTCCTCTCTCCAATCTCGCCTCTCTCCCTGAATCTTCTGTCCCCACTCTTCTTTTCTCCCGTCCTCCTTCCACTTTCAAGTTCTCTCTCTCTCTGTCTCTCTCTCTCTCTCTCTTTGTCTCTCTCTCTCTCTCTGTCTCTCTGTCTGTCTGTCTCTCTCTCTCTCTCTTTCTCTCTCCCTCCCTCCCCAGTTAATGACCGTCTAGCAGGGGCCACGGTCGGGAGAGAGAATTGGCCGGGCCTGGCGTCCCGAAGAGCCCCTCAGGCGGCTCCCCCATGCTGAAAGCCTCCCACTTTTCGCTCTCTGTCCCTCGGCTCGTTTTCCTTCCTCGCTGACGCTGGCGAAGACACTGAGTGCTTCACACCCGGGAGAGGGGAGAGGAAAGAGCAGGGGAGGCGGGCGGGGGGGAGGGGAGGAGAGCGGAGGAGAAGGAGGAGACAGGAGAACTGAGTAAGGACAGGCGGCTCCCTCACTCCCTCCCCGGGAAAGGAGGGGAGGGATGGGTGAAGTTACCGGGATACAGACACCAGCTCAGTGCTAGCAAAATCTTCTAAGGATCAGAGCTGTCCAGCAACAGCCCGAGGGAATGAATCAGCTGGGAGGTTGGCTTGAGGGGAGGTAGGTAGGTGTGTGTGTGTGTGTGTGTGTGTGTGTGTGTGTGTGTGTGTGTGTG